TGGGGTAAAGTGGCTGGGGCATGAAGCTGACCACTCATCTCCAACTAGTGCTGACGTCAAGAAAATGTTGATCTATGCATCCACTCCTCCATACACCTCCATGGCACAGTGCTTAATTAGTTAAGCACAGGGACAACTTTACCTTTTTTTTAAAAACTAGTTTCACTGTTTCAGCTGTATGAGTAAACAGTCATTATCAGGTGATGTACACAAATCAGTCTACTATAAGCAAATATAAATCTGTTGAAGTACTTTCACATATTACTGACTAGACATGGGACGTGGACTGACAACTGGATTTACCGAACACTTACAACTCGTAACTACAAGTGATCATAACACTACTGTTAATCTACAAAAATCAAACTCCATGGCCTGCAGTGTGCAAGTGAACTATACACACTTAAAAATCACTACTGAAAGTTCCAAGTCTTCTCAGTTTGCTGTGTCTTCACATCCTTGTTGCTTGGTAACAGCTCACAACAATGACCTATCTTTGACTCTTGAAGGGTCCTCATGGCATCACCAGCCATCACTGACTACTCACTCACCCAGAGGCTCCTGTTATGCATCCTCAGCATGAACTGAACAGAAAGCTTTGCTTCTAACAGTTCCTCTATTGTGCACACATCTGTTGCCACAATGTGTGTTTATCAAGCCATGGAAACATTTTTAGTCTGCTGCTGCCTAGAAGTACAAAATTTTTTCTGTCACCATGTCACATTGTTCCCTCCTTAAGGCTGCTTGTCTCAAGTAGCCCAAAGGTGTATTGACATTTCTTCTTTTCAAAGGGGGACGTGCATGTAACATCTGTGATTGGTCTTCCAAACAATAACATTGTGCTGGGGTTGACATTTCTTCCACAAGTTTGTGGAAACACAATTTGTGAAAGTGGCTGGCACTGCTGCCGTGCCTGTATGTAAGCTATCAGCAGTCTCTTCTTTTGTTTGGGAGGGGGTTGGCCCTTCCAAAAAGCCCTGTGACTAGTTTTCTGGAGCCTGACTGATCAGACTGCTTGTGTTAAGACTTCCAGCTCCAGGGTCTGCCTGAAGGTCTCACTGATTATCATCTTGCCTCCCGGAAGTACCTGCTGTTTTATGCCTTGGTCTCTCATATTGCTGCCAAATGCCTTGCTTGGTCTCCTACAAAAGTGGTCCTCATATAGTGAAGGAAAGGCAAGGAGGGTGTGGGATGTTTAATGGCAGTAGCAAACTCCTCCAAGTGTTCACCATTGCCTTGGGTCCCTGTTTTAATCTGACTGGGGTAACCTACAGCCAGATACTGGTCCCCAATCAGTCTTCATTTGTCTTGATAGTATCCTTGTATATCACTCTTTTAGGGTCTCTGTGAATAATGTCAGAAGTCTGTTCCTGCAGGGCAGTAAGTAGGTGCATGGCTTTTTCCCGTGGTACCCCTTCATAGTAGGTCGCGGGTTCAAGTCCCGATGAGGTAACTGGATTTTTTGTTTTAATTGACCTAATCCTTCCAGCCACACTATAGCTCTGGGGTTGACTCAGCCTTCTAACAGAAATGAGTACCAGGAATTAAATATTTTTCCTGGGGAGTAAAGCTTGGCTGGTGCATAAGGCTGAAAACCTTACCACCATCTTTGAGCTGACTGTCTAGATAATGTGGGACCCTCAATGTCTCACAACCCTATGGGCCTTCATGGCCTGTTACAGGGATAGCTTTACTTTACTCTTTTACTTACCCTTTCATAGTGCTCCGCTAAAGCCTTTATCTTTTCTTAATTGCCCCTTGACTCTGTGGCCTTCGTTTCTTTCAAGCAAGTCTCAACTTCGGCTCTCATTTGTTCCTGGCCAGCCTTCACCATAGGCTCCATCTTTCCTGGACAGCCTTCCATGACTCCTAGGCAGGCTCTAATCTCCTCTAGGTTGACATCCATCAGGGCCTTCATTCATGTCTTGTGGGTTGGTTCTTATTTTGGCCTTCATTTCTTTCTGATTGGCTTTAGTTTCAGTCAGCAGGTGTTCCATCAATTGCTCTATTTTTGTATCATAGCTATACAACTAAACAATGAAGTCATCAATCTAATCCATTTAATCCAACTGATCTCACTTCTGACACCAGTTGTCATGTGATAGTGACTAGACACAGGGTTTGGGTTGACAATTGGGTTTACTGAACACTTGTGAACTCACAATTACAAGTAATTATAATACTATCCCTAATCTACAAACTTAACAAATCACTACTGCAAGTTCCAAGTCTTCTCAGTAGCAACTCCCAAAAATGAACTCTCTTAACTCTTGAATGGTTCTCATGGCATCACTAGTCATCACTGTCTACTTACTCACTTGGAGGCTAACCATATAAAGGACATCATTTTTTAACAGTTCCTCTATACCATGGATGGAGGCAGGTTCAAATACCTCTACCACAGCCCTGAGTCATAGGTGACAAAAAGGTAACCTAATGCCTGGGGGTATAACTGGGTCACCTGTTCCTGGGGGATATAAATATGGGGACCTGGCCCTCCAGGTTGGGGAAGTCTCCGATCTAAGATAGTAAAATATGGTCATGAATCCCACAGGGTTCAGATTCAGATACAAGAATGACCACACTGCAGAAGGCTGGCAGAAATTGTATATGACAGACCTGTCCTCTTACATCCATACCAACAAACCTGCAATTGTCTGACAGAAATAAAAATCTGATGTTGGGTCACAGATGGGTGCTTGGCACCAAGACAGACTGGCCAACTGACCATTGGTCATAACATAATTTACTTCCTCTATTGCTGTGCATGTATCTGCTGCCACAATATGCATTAATTAAGCCATGGAAATGTGCTTAGTTTGCCACTGTCTTGCAATGGACAATTCTTTTAGTCATTGTGTCATAATATGGAACTCAATAAAATGTAGACAACAAAATAATTAATTAGGTTAGAGCAGACTTATACACAATTTGACACTTCACATGCCTATATTATACATTTATTTTTTCTGTACAGTTTTTATTAATTCAAGTTAACTTAATGTTGTAAATGACTGTTTTATTTTGGACATCTGGTGCAGTTTTTCTGTTGGTGCATAGCCAGAGATGCAGGACAATGTACGTACATTAGCACAGTTGAGACAGGACTTAAAATTAAGTGGGATCCAACATCATTCATTATTTTATCTACATTTACACACCTCCATATTTCAACAAATTTGTACTTAAAGTCTAGATATATTTAGCTGACTTGTGTATGTCACCTGGATATGACCATTTATGGTCAAACCTTGCAGTGGATAACAGACAACAAAATGCTTTTTAATGTAAGTTTGTGTGATAGTTAAACTTAAAATAAACACAAGAAGGACACTATCTTATATTATTGTGATGAACATATCCAGGTAAGTTAATGCACACAGGCATTTCACAGCTCATTCAAGTTCTTCAGTTTTTATGTGATCAGAGCATTTTGATCATGTACATTATTTAATAATATCAAAAAATAATGAATGTGTATGAAATTTTGAGACAAAATCTGAAACAGTATGGCCAAAACTTATCAAATGACGCAAGCGGCACTGAGAGATGAAATAATTAGGAGCGCATGAGTTTCTGAGTGATTCCTTCACTTTAAGGAGTTCCAAGCATTTGTCAAAGTGATGAGAATCCTAGATACTCTTCAGTTAGTATAAAAGATGAACCTGTATCCCATGTACATGATTTTGTATGAAGTGAACGTAAACTAAGTATTTGTGAAAAGGCTGAAGATGGAATTTCTTATGACCCATGTCAGACAATATGAATAAAATATTTAGAACTGAGGCATATCTCAGCTTAAACTGACACAGCACTAGCATTTAGGAATGAAAATTGTCTCAGACCAAAATGCAGACATAGCAGTAAAATGAAAACCATTTCCCTGCAATTTATGACTTGCTTGAACATACAGAAACAGATGCAAACTTCATTAGAATGTCATAACAGGTAATGAAACACAAATCTATGATTACAATATGAAAACTAAGCAACATACTATTACAGTAGCCACAGAGTTTACAGCACAAAATGTCTTCGCCCGTTCAAACACTGGGATGTGTTTGAATCCTAAATAAGGCATTGATATTTGTCTTCATTTTTGTGTTTGTGCTGTCCTGTGTATGTAGCAGCCTTGTGATGGGCTCATCACCCATCCAAGGAATTCTACCAACTTATAAGATTCATAATTTCAGATTTAATTCTGAATGGGAACAGGCCAGACAGCATAATTAATCAAGGGAGGAGGAGGAGGAAAACTAAAGAGCAATAATGTCCTTCTTTGTGATGGCTACTAAAGGAAAGCCAAATACGCAGCAAAATCAAAGTGATATCATGCAGCAATTGGGGTTCTCACACCAGTAGTTATGAACAGTTCTGTCTTCTGAGATATAAAGCCATCTAGTCAGCTGAAGGCTCTGCCTGGTACCTACTTTCATGCTAGTTTCTTGCTCGGCTTATTCTTCCAACCCTGACAATGGAGGCGACACATTCCTCTGAAATTCTGGTTGACCTTCAATGGAATACATGGCATTATATACCAGGAGATGGAACTCTTCAAACCAATAATTGATTTTGTTTACAATCATGAAGATGTTTGCACCATCAGTACGCTCTACAAAGTCATGTGAAAAAAACTGAACACAGTTAAATAAAGCAACAAAAAACAGAGTCTTAGAAATGGATCATTGGAACAAGTGTGTACATCTGGAAAGAATCCACTTTGTAAATACATTTCCATCCTTTCATGTAAAGTATCTAAGTTTTTCCAGATTCAGATTTAGTGAGTCTTTAGTGAACAGACCTCATATTCCTTCTTAAATGAAATTCAACTTCAATATCACAGAGAAGAATTACCAATTACCAGGTACATGACTATCCATGTTCACAGTTAACACATGCTCCACAAGACATTCAATCTGTTACATTATGATTAGCACCTAATACAAAACTACCAAATACATGCACCTTAAGCACTCGAACTATGAGAACAGGTTAGTTACCTCCAACATCTTTATTACTGCAGAGTTGTAATCAACAGTCTTTCGCATAACAGATTTGCGAAGTCTCTTCCCATCAAATTCGCTGTCAGGTCCACCAGGGCCTTGCCGAGGATAAGGACGGAAGGGCTGAAAGAAGTGACCTCTGTGGGCACCTCTTTCTCCATGGAACCGATGTTGGGAATAATGATGGGGTACCATCGCTGGGGGTGGAACTGACATATTGGGAATTGGAGGGGGTGGCTGACTAAACTGTACTGTCTGCATCATGTTTCAAATAAAATACGTTTGGCTAAATTACAAATACATAAGCAGCAATCCGCAACAATTTCGCAAAACTTCGCAGAACTCGATATTTCAAGGTAATATGAAAACCCCAACTCCGCAAAACTCAGTTTATACTTCGGGGAGATCTCAAATCCCCCAACCTAAACGCTATACTTTGCAAAACATATGAATGATACAAGAAAAATGACTTCAAAGATTTAAAATCCGTCCACTTGTAACACGTTTTATATTTCAACTCATACATGTTCAAAAGCTGAATGCCTCCCTCTCCACAAGTTACCTATATTTAATCATCAGTGTGAAATATTTCGATACCGATATTTTCTAACCATCAAGACACCACTTCAAAAAAAACTCTGAAATTAGCAGTAAGGAAGAAATTTTTATTATGTATATTGTTTCTTTCCAGATGCCAACTCGTCACGCAATTCTTCCATTACGCTATTATTAATACCCATACGCGCAGGCGCGAACGGCGCGAAATTGCGGTTGCTAGGTTGCTAGAGCCAGGCTAGTGAAACTCGATATTATTATCTGGCAGTGGTGGTCACCAAAACGTCACGAACTCTTAATGCTGCCATCTATTTTCAACGTTCAGTCTACCGCTGTAACTTTGCCGCATCTACTTTCGAGACCTTCGTCGGTAAAAAGGTCAACTACTACTATTCACGATACCCAGCCTATGTGTACTACTAGACCTCCCGAATCCTGGGTTCACATAACTAACTAACCAACTAACTCTATGCAGCTGAAATAATCTTGAGAAGACGCCAGGTGTGCAGCTACTAAAGAACTTTCCAATATTGTATGAAGCCAGAAGGTTCATTACCTTGTTCACAAGAGCCCTCCATTAGTCCATATCCTGAGCAAGATAAATCCAGTCCATACCACCCCATTCTATCTCTTTAAGATAATTTCATTACTATTCACCCATCTACGTCTTGGTTTTCCTAATGATCTTTTTCTTTCTGGCCTTCCCACCAAAATCCTATATACATTCCTCTTCTCTTCATTCGTGCTACATAACCCGCCTATCTCATGTCCCTTAACATCATCATTCCAATTATATTTGACGAAGAGTACACGTTAAGAAACTTCTCATTATGCATTTTTCTCCAACCTCCTGTCAATACATCTCTCTTCAGTTCAAATATTCTCCTCAACACCCTGTTCTCAAACATCCTCAGTCTATAGTCCTCTCTTAATGTCAGAGACCAAGTTTCACACCCATACAGAACCACAGGCAAAATTGTAATAAATTCCGTGGTTTTAGTCCTCAAGCGAACTATACCCACTGATCGACCGCCGCTTGTCGGCGAAGTTAGTGCCAAATTTAGCGGATAGAGGGTGTGACGTGGTTAGCGCAACGAATCCCCACGGCGGTTAATGTCTGTTTTCTAGACCGGCAGGCAAAATTGTAGTTTTGTATATTCTAAATTTAAATTTTTGACAGTAGACGAGAAGACGAAAGGTTTTGGACTTAATGTTAGCAAGCGTTACCCGAATTCTCTCCCCTCTTAGTTTCCTCCTGGATCAAATTTTGATTTGTTACTGCCGTTGTCAAGTATTTGAACTGTGCCACATTTTCAAAGGATTTGTTAGCTGTCTTTATATCACGATTTTGCCCTGAATTCTGGAGATGAGACAGTAACATATACTTAATTTTCTCTGTGTTTACTTTCTCTTCAAAGAATAGTGAATAATTTTGCTACCCTAATCTCTTGTATTGCAATGGTTATTACTCCGATTTTAAAAACGCGTCTAATATCAATTTAATCATCTATCAGGCAAAACTTTCTCAGCATTTCACATTTCATTTACATCAATGTAATGTACCATTAATCAACTGCACTGGACACTGAACTATAACATACATAGAAGACATACTCATAAGTGTTTAGGAAAGCTGAAGAGTTGAAATTGAGTAAACTTGAATGAAAATTCTGTTTCCATCAGACATACTTGTATTGAACGCCATATCTTTGTTCACAACTTACACGTACACTTGGAAGCTAGATGTCCCGATGAAAGTTATCCAAAATAGAAAAATAAAAACCTCGGAAAGTAATTGTCATACACGTATCCGATTTATGTCATGGGAAAGGAAAACATTGAAAGTTTTTTCTTGCCCGGCTTGTGCGCGAGCTCAGTAACGATGTCGAAACCACATGAACATTTTAAATTCATGTTGTGGGTAGCAGAGTTGCAGTCTCTTACGGTTGTCCATCGTCATTTTAGAATGCAATATGGATGTCAACCTCCTACACAGAAAAACATTCGGTTCTGGGACAACAAACTGAGGACTACAGGTCGTCTGTTGCGTGTTAGATCTCCTGGAAAGATATTGACCTCTGAAGAAGATGTCAATCGCACTAGAGAGGCATTCCAGGGAAGTCCTCGCAAATCAACCGAAATTTTGCCCTTATTCTGACCTCACCCTCATAGGGAGACCATTGTTGTTTTGGAATGGACCATCACGCTTCAGCTGACATATACTCAGTCACCATTGCAATATCGACCTTTCCTGAGAAGGGTTTCTATTGTCTATAACGAGCAAATTCAATGAAATCGTGATTCAGTATGTAGCATTTGATCAATGGAACGATTATCTGCGAAAAGTGCGAGGAAGTGATGGGGGCTCTTCATTTCTATGGTTCCGACAAGCCGTGGTTTAATTAAGCACACGACATGAAGACACGTGGGAAGTGGAGAAACAGCCGCATGGATTCCTAACCTTGGCACTAGGTAAGTAGTAAGTAATAATTTAACTTAATTCAAATTTTAATTCGGATTTCACTGTAATAATTTAACTTAATTCAAATTTTAATTAGGATTTCACTTATAATTTGAACATAGTTTTAACCTACAAACAGAGAAAAAAATAATTTGACAAGATAACACATTGTATTAATTCGCCTACTTTTTAGACGCTAATAGTAGGCCAACCGTATAATGTTGTTCCAACGTAGTGCTAAAATGTGCATACTTGACGTTGTGAATGATCAAACAAATCACAGAACCTAGGATATAAATGAAAATGTTGCGTGGAAAAGAACCGAAGACCAAAATATGGAGCGAACAATAAAGCAACAGGTTGATGCACTACTACAACATATATAATTTTAGAGCGCTCCGAGAAAGTTAAATAAGAAGACAGGTTAATAGTCCGCAAGCGAACTATACCGACCGAGCGACCGCCGTTTGTCGGCGAAATTAGTGTCAACTTTAGCTGATAGAGGGTGTCGCGTGGTCAGCGCAACGAATCCCCACGGTCGTTAATTTCGGATGTGGAGACCGGAGCAGCTATTTCCTTGAAATAGCTCCTCAATTATCCTTACGAGGCTGAGTGGACCCCGTTCCAAACCCACTTCTCAGAAAATCTGGTAGCGCCGGGAATCGAACCCGGATCTCTGGGTCTGTAGCCAGAAACTCTGACCACTAGACCACAGAGGCGGTCTTTTCACAATTTCTCCAAAAGTATGGGGAGCATTTCGAAAGCTACGCTTTATATTCGGTTTCAACTTAGGGAACACTGATTTTCTACAAAACGCATAAAGTTGAACAATAAATTCATATTGGTGCGCATTACCCTGACCACATTTTGGGGGGGGGGGCTGTGAACTTGAGTAAACCCCTTACGAGACTTCTTCATCCTTCCAAGTTTCTCAGCAAGTCATCGACACTGAGCAGACTGACGTGACGGCAACAACGCAGACGTGCATTTTGGAGGCTTCTTGAAAAAGAAATCATCTCCGTATTTGAAATACTCTCCCAGTTAGCAGTCATTATCCTATTCCTAACACATTAGACAGTACAAATCCTATCTACTCCTAGTTAGAATGACATGGATAAATAAACTGATAATTAACCAATCAATGAAAGAAGTGTTAAGCTGATAGATGGACGTGACTTCTCGCGCCCCATACATTCACTTCAAAACCAAAGTGCAAAGAACGCATAAAAGTAAATAATTTCAGTTTCTAAAAGAGTATAGCATCTGTCCTTGTCTGGGAGAGCAATGGTCTGCAATAAGTTTGGCTTAATGGACGCGTCGTGAGCTGTGTGTGTGTGTGTGTGTGTGTGTAGGCGCGCACAGAGACGGATTCTTAATCATAAGAAATATCATTTAGCGATTTGAACCTCTCACGGTGGTGATTCTGAAGAGCACTTTCTTTTGGGATTTTACCTCGTCAGAGTGTAGAAATGTACCGACGTTTCGGAAGAACGTACTCTCTCCACCTTCAAGGTTGAAATGTAAGCCTGTTTACTGCTTGTTTGCTCGGCTTGTACTTCGAAGCTGAAGATGGAAGTAGTACGTTTTTGCGAAACTTTTTATAGCACATGGCGTCTTATCTCAGAAAGATGTATTCTTCAGTTCACGTTTTATCTGCTGTTGCTTCCTTACTTTCTTTTCCTTTTCATTTATTTCATCTGGAGCTACACAATTACATTCCTGGCAACATTAAGAGCATATTACACTTGGAAAGTGCTGCTTCTCTTCAGTAATCCTATGTAGTCGTCCATTTTCCGTTACATTATTTCACATAGGTCCATACAAAACCACAATTTCACCTGCTGTTTTGTGAGAACGTGGACAGTATTAACGCATAATGTTGAAGTCATAGCTGTTCTTCGATCAATCAATGACTTTCCAACTGCCATCTATTCCATACGCAATCCTATCAAGTAGATGTCAATTAAATTTGTTACAGAGAACGTACAAAAAACATTGTTTGGCAGGTTTGTCTACTAAATTTCATACTTCACGTAAAGCCTAAATTTAACTACAGCACGCGATATTTTCTGCAAGAAATGGATCATCGTACAAACGAATAGACCACAAGCGTAGTATGGAACGCCAAGATTTATAGTTCTTGATTAAAGTATTCTTCAATGTGGTGCACTTGTAATTAAGAAATAAAATTTATTAACGTTATGATAGCAAAACTCGAAGGTTATCTGCTGTTAATACCGCAGTCTGTAATTGGACACGTTCATGAACATATTTCATCGTCACATCCTATATTCCTGCGATCCATCATAATGTTATCTTCGCATTTCATTCTCGGTTTTCAAAGTGAACATTTCTCGTGATGTTTGCCCTCTAAGTTTCAATACGCAACGTTGTTATCCTTCATGGAACTACAAGCATTACTCATCGTGGCCTCCTTGGTTTCACTATCCCAAGAATTACGAGAGGCTTCCTCTTGTAGAACTAAAAGGGAAAATTATTTATGCCTTCATCCTGAGGAATACTTCTTTATCATGATAACTCGAGTGCCATTAGCGCTGTCACCGACAGATCAAGCAATGGGAGGCAGGTAACTTATAGATACCGTATGTCTACTTGCAATGCGTTGCCATGTGACATAAGTAGGTAAGTCAATAAGTAAGTTACAAATGGATATAGAACTTAAACATGTAAGAGTACTGATTTGAAAAATGC